TGATTCTATCATATAACTTATCCCATGTTTTTCCATTATTACATAATAAAGTTTTACATAAATCATATAGCATATACAAAGCATATCATTATCTTTAGTCATGCATACATACAATCAATGTAATACAGATAATCACATATAATTATAACAACACATAATCATGTCCATGACTTCATGCATATTACTCTAGGAAATAGACTCATCGCAAGTCTTATTTCCATTAAACACTACATATCACTAGTATGCACTCACCTTGGCCTCACTAGTCAATTTCAATCTCTTATCTTTCCCTTGATCGATCTTACTTGCCAAATGTTCTGGAATTGCTTTACGCGCAGAATCTACATAAATGTACATTTTGAGGCAATCATTAGATATCTACACCTTGTAATTGGGTACTAGCAACTTAAACGAACTTATTAAACCAATATTCACATTTTTCCTTTAGGGGGAATCGATTCCCTCCTGTGGGGGAATCGGTTCCCCTATGAGATTATGGAATTTCTGGTTCGCTTGAGGGGTATCGATTCCCCATTGAATGGGTATCGATTCCCTTGAATGGGTACCGATTCCCCTTGCCCAGAAATCATATTTTCAGCACGAAATTTACTTCGTTTCATCTTAAACACTTCATATTTCAACCTCTTCTATATACTAAACTCAAACACACATACTTAAGCCCATTTGTACTCGTTTAATCCATCTTAATTCTCAAAATCCTCTCCTCTTAATGAAATTCAAGAATTATACTCAATTTTCAACATGTTCTAAATTCCTTTCTATCACTCCAAATCTCTTAATTCAACTATTGACAAGTCAAATTCAACTTAAAATTCAACTTATCAACTTTATTTCAAGATTTCATTCAAAAACTCAAAATCTTTAATCTCTCCTATACCTTTATCTTGTTGTTTTAGAACCAATTAAGCTTTTCTTAAGCTTAATTACCATCCAATGATCAAAACCCAACTTTTAGTTGAACAAATAATCAACTAATGAAGAAACTTACCTTTGCCCTTGAGCTTTTACGGGAGGAGAAAGAAGAAAGGAAGAAGAGATGAAATGTTTTCATCTTCCACGTTTCAATCTCCTATTAAAGGGGATAAAAAATATCTTTATTGTCAAATGACCATTTTTCCCTTTACTACTTTGGATAATTACTAAAAACTTCCAGGGATTATCTCCACATAAATCATTGAACTTTTCAACTTTTCCACTGTAATTACCAAATTCTGAAATTTTACAATTTAGTCACTAACCCATAATTTGGGATGTTACACCTCTTGTTGATTCACCATCCATTTATTGGGGAATCATTTATGTGAACATGAGTTTCATGAGGCAGTTGGTTTCCATACGTAGCCTGAATCTTAGCATTTTAGCTCACCATGAACACTAAAAAAATAGCCACCAGTAATTTTTGAACAAAAATTGTTTTTAGTTAGACAATTAATTGATAATGTTTGATTATGGCATTTCTTATTTTACCCATTCTGAAAGCTATTGTCTTCTGGGTTCCGGTGCTCTCTCTATAGAAACATTTTTATCCTTGTTGATTTGCTACAGTAATTTACTTTGTGCAGAACCTCAGACTACCTAGAATTTTTAGTCTTCCTGTGAATTCTGATCACCAGCTGTTGAATTACAGGTTATCAACCAGAAAGGTCAAGGGTATGGAATTCCTGCTGATATATGGAGCCTTGGTTGTACTGTGTTGGAGATGTTAACCCGCCAGATTCCGTACCATCAGTTGGAATGTGTACGTATCTTTTCTTATGGATACAAGCCTTTTATGGAATATTTATTAAGTGATCTAATATAGAAGTAGAAAGAACAGATATGGAAAATTGTATGTTGTCATCACCAAATCACAAATTGGCTTATAGAATTTTATTGCATGAAACTGGGTTGGAGGGAGGGGTGGAGGGATGTTCCAGTTTGTTTCATTTCTGATTGTTCATGATGAATTCTATCTTGCACTGATGCTAGAGAGCTATGAACAAGTGTTGAGTTAAAATTTTGGTATTCTTGGTTTTCATGCATGTAACTAAAACTTTAGATGAATTTTGTTAATGTTAATGACATTTTGTGTAACTTGAAACAGATGCAAGCATTGTATAGAATTGGGAGAGGTGAGCCACCTCCGGTTCCTGATTCTTTGTCAAAAGATGCTCGAGATTTTATCATGCAATGCATACAAGTCAAACCCGATGCTCGGCCCACTGCTGCAAAGCTCTTGGAACACCAATTTGTGAAAAGGCCTCTTCCGCCTCACTCGGGCTCAGCATCTCCTCATATTCTTGGCCGACGGTTTTGATTGTTTAGCCTTGTAACTAAATTGCAACAAGTAACGAAGTAAACATTTTATGCTTATCATATGTCTGCAATTGAAACTCGCTCATCGTTTGCCATTGTTGCAAGATGTTCGGCTTTAGATCCTAAGATGCCTAAAATATCTAAAAAGGGGCATATTGATTATTCTGAAACATGAGTTTGTGAAAAGTTTAGAACGGGTTTTCGGTGTTTCGTAATCTTATTAGTTTGCGAAACTAGAAAAGTAGGTTGACTTGGATTCTTACACACAGATCTTTATTCTATTTGGATACCAAGCTGTCCATCATGATGAAGAAAGCTTAGGGTCCTTGAGCTTGAATGGTTTTTTACCTTCATGAGGGCATTGCTATGGGTCCTAATGGCAATTTCCATGGGTCCACAATGATGCTGTACAGAAAAGGACTGCTCTTAAGTTATTTGTTATTTTTTGGGTGGAAACATTGTTAGGGCAAACTCTGAGGTGAGAATATTGTAAGAAATAAAAAGTGAGGCAGCGTTTGTTTGTAAATATCTCTGTGGGTAAATGTTATTATTGGAAGTGAATAATAAGAATGCACTCAACGTGTGTGTTTATTTGACTGCTATCTGCAACTGTAAGTACGGTAGGGTTTCAAATCAGAATATATAACTTTCAAACTCGTCAGTATATTCTTAACACTTCTCATTGCACCTTTCCTTTTGGATTTAATGGAAAAGTAGATTATAACCACCCAAAAATTAAAGGTAAATAGTTTGAAATTTCAGATTACATGTAAGATAATCTAAAGAGGAATTGGTATTGAGATTACATCATATATTCCGACATCTCGACATTGTTGGAAATGTGAGATTACTGCCTTAACGAAGTGTTCGAAAACCAAACACATCTAAAGAAGTTGACATTTCCGAACATGTCAATTGAATCCTAAAATGATTAACATAGAAATAATTTCTTGATTTGAATTTTGAAATAACTCGAATGTCAAATGTGTTACTCTCAAAATAATCTGAAATAATGAATGACCTGATCTCAAAAATTATTCTTAATTTAAATAATTTTTTAACATGAACTTATAGTATAAGTTTTAAAACACAATATAATTGTGGAATTGTCCTGTGTCGCTTGGGTTTCCTCGCCTTTCTTTGCTGGTATAAATCGACATTCCCAAGTAGTACAGCCTAGTATGGTATTATCCATGAAACTAATTCTAAATTACTTATAGTTTGGTAATTATTTCTTATGTCATATTTCAACAATGTCGTTGTAGTATAGTGGTGAGTATTCCCGCCTGTCACGCGGGTGACCCGGGTTCGATCCCCGGCAACGGCGATTTTCCTTTTTATTTTCTCGTTATGGAATGACTAGAGTATCGCTCGTTTTAATCTATTTTTTTCTTAATTTTCAGAATGTTGCAGACAAAATATGATCAAAACAACGTGAGAGATTCAAATGAGCTTAAGCTTAGAATACATTAATCCAATACGAACTGCTAAAACAACTCAATGCCATGCATCAAATGTTAAAAATAATAAAACGATAATAACAATTAACAAGTCACTAATGGAACTTAAACTCCTTTTGAGGTGCCGTTGGGTAAAAGGGTTGCAGATTATTGTTCCAGCAGACTTATTGACTTCATCCCAAGCTTCAATCCCAGTAAGCATGGCGTCACCCAGCTTAACGAACTAAGCATCCAGTTCATCATCTCGCTAGCAAGTGCAAGGTAACATTTCTCAAGACTGCTGCAATCCTATAATACAGCAAGGCCAAAATTTGCAAATCAAGTCCAAACAAACATTTAGCCACCCATCACATTCCCCCAATAAGAGATGTATACGTATTTTTAATCGTAAATACATACCTAGTAATTCTCTCAAGAGGCTTGACAACCTAAAAAAACATCAAAGGAACAAAAGACATCAAACATAGAAAAATGTTATAGTTTTCATAGGACGAGTGGATGAGACATATGAAGCAATCACCATCAATGGTGAAGATGAATTTCTTCTTGCACGCAAGGTAGCCAAAGCATCTACAAGCAGAGTCCATGAACGAAATGCATGAAGCCTTTGGTCCGAGGATTCCATTAACGTTGTTCTTGTTGTAAAGTGCAAGGTAACATTTCTCAACACTCTTGCAATCCTATAATACAGCAAGGCCAATGTATCGATAAGGGAAGGATGGCAATTCTTTGGTTCATCTTTTAGAAGATGAAGTTGTTGGGAAAATGATGTATATAGAGAAATCAAGGCTGTTGTAGTTTCGAATAAAAGGAAACAATATATTATCTTCCTGTATCAAATTTCTATGTGAATACATCCTTTCCAAATAATTCCAAACTATTCGATAAAATATCAAACCTTATAGATGTTTAACTGAAAAATAATTATTTCAATTATTTATTATTTATTTTAGATATTAATTTTTTTATCAAAATAAATATATCTAATTTAATACATTATTCAATCGGTGTTAAATTTTTAAATTTTATTTTAAAAATAAATAAAATCTTTAAATTATTCAAAATCTCAAAACCTCGAAATCATTTCTAAATCGGCGATGTCTTATCTTTGGGCCTTGTCTTTACCAAGTTGAGTTGGGCTACACCTGATTTAGGCCGACGAAAACGTGGCTATCCTCAATCAGCGAGTTTATTTTCTTTTCTACTCGAGCGAGTGCCTTTCTATGGCGCTATTCGGGGCAGAGGATAAAGCTACTATCAACGCCTTAAAGCTCTCCATTTCACTCTGTTTGGATACCGAGAAAATTGAAAAGGAAAATGGCGCAGACCCTGGCGATGCCCGTTGCACCTTCTGTCTCCTTTGTATGCAACAAAATAAGCTCCATGTCTCTCTACAACACTGCTTCCCTCCCTGTTTCAAACCCTCCGAAGGTAATTTCCGATCATTTCTCGATTTTTTTCAAATTTATTTTAATTAATCTCTTGATCTTCTGTTTAGGTCTTGAATTTAAATAAATAACAAACATAAAGAAGGAGAAAATTTTTAGCTTAAATCTCTTTATCGCCGTGGACTTTTGCTCATATCGTCGTCGAAAATTTTCGGAAATGACAAATGTAAATTAGTTTGTTTCGCTTGTTTTAGGCTTAATTGGTTTTAGGGTTTGGGAAAAGCAAGGTTCCGTATATTTGTAAATTTACGAGTTTTGGTGATGAAACGTGAACAAAATCCAAAACTATGTACCTTTCCTATAGTTCACCTGAAAGTTAATGAGTTTGGAAGCTAAATTTTTGGTGTACTTTTTTGCTTTTTTTGGCTTCTGCTTATGTTTCATGTTTTGAATCAAACAGCAGCGTAGTCTAAGCATTGTATGTGTTCGTGTTGGTGGAGTGGAGATTCCGAACAACAAGAGAGTGGAATTCTCTCTGCAGTACATCCATGGAATTGGTCGCACAAGGGCTCGTAAAATCCTCTGTGATCTCGAAATGGAGAACAAAATCACCAAAGAGTTGTCCGAGGATGAACTCATTACACTTCGTGATGAAGTCTCCAAGTATATGATTGAAGGGGACTTGGTAAATTGTCATTCTCCTCCTCATGCTGTTTCTAAAGAGTTGTAACTATGAACAGTCATTGGTAAGCAATTTCGATTTTGCAGAGGCGGTTCAATGCTCTTAACATAAGGCGATTGAAAGAGATTCAATGCTACCGAGGGATTCGTCATATTCAGGGATTGCCTTGTAGAGGGCAGCACACGAAGAACAACTGTCGGACTTTGAAGGGTAAGAGGGTTGCTATTGCTGGTAAGAAGAAAGCTCCTCGTTAGTCTCGTAACTGCTTTTGTTTCAATGAAGTGATCTTGTGTTGAATTTTAAGTTTGTTTCAAAATGAATACATTGTAGATTTATAGTACAATATGATTCGATTCGGTATTGAAATTGGATTTGCTATCTCCATAAGGCATAATTAGTGCAAGCAGTTTTCAATTTTATGTTCCTGCTTTCATGGAATGGAGCTTCTGCAGTACTTCGCATATGGGATGCGTTATTCATCCCAATGCCTGCCGAAAACTGTTTTGACACTTATGGGATGTGTCATTCATCCCGTGCCTTGCCGAAAACTGTTGCTCGGAGTTTTCATTTCTGTTAAATATGCATGTTTAGTACTTTGCGTCGATACATATTTAGACATGGTATACACATGAGACACAGTGTCTTAAAAACCAACTTAAATAGTTTGATCATATTATATTAGCATTGTGAATGAAATGAATGCTTGGAGTTGAAGAAATGTCTATGTAGATGATATTACTACTACTAGTTTTATCACTATTATCCCATGATCTTAGGGATGATAATAGGGCGGGGCGGGCGAATTTTTGGCCATCTCGACCCCAACCTGTGAAATAAGAATATCTACCCGAATCCTATTTGTCCCGATAGTTGTAGAATTCCATCCGCCCCGAACCGGTTCTAAAATTTGAGCTTCAAACTCGTTCTTGATCCGACCCGAGCAAAATGACAGACTGAAAATAGAGGGTTTATACAAGGTGATTCATTAGCAAAATTGAGTTCTTTTTTTCCCCAATTGCCAAGATTTTCCAAATGTCATGAAATTGAAGCAAAACTTAATTGTAGATTACAGAGAACATAATGTCATACATTATTTTTGAAAATGCGATTAACAAAAGCATCATAGAGTTATTGCATATAAACAAAATTTCCACAACGAACCATCTCGGCTTCCATCCCTTCTCACAACTCACCCATTTGTAAAGCATTCCCGATACCCCGTTCCCTACGATGTCGTTTATCTTCACATCTACTTGAACCGGAGGGACTGGTTCCTCTCGCTCATCCACGCTATCACTATATTAGCTTCTAATTTTACAAATTTTAGGATTAAATATAATGTTTATCATTTTAGGAGGGCTAAGATACAATTTTACCACATACTAATGTAATGTTAAAAATTATAAAGGACTAGTTTAAAATTTTACCAATTTTGGGGGGCCATGGTCCCTCCCAGCCCCCTGGGTTGGACTCTGATCACAAGCCAAGAGTTCTCCAATCATTCCTAACCATCCCCATCCTCTTTATCACATCCAACGATGTCTCTATTTCGTCTACTCCATTTCGACCTACGCATCATGCAATGTCAAATTGGTCTATCCTTCTAACAGAAGCCTTCTTTGATCTGCTTCCTTCAAAACCAAACTTTCGTAACGGTTTTTTCTCACCTTATTCTCTATAACCCGAATCCGGGACGAGTATCTTCACTATCTACACTACCAGTTCTAGTTGTAACAAATTCATCTTTGACATACAACTTAGTTTAGAATTAAGCATGCATTGAAAGTTGGGTGATTCTAAAAGTTCAGGAAGTATTTATATACTTTACTCCTATAATTATTCTAGTTTGAGCAGATTCTTCACAAACACTATTTAATTTAAAACTCAAATTTTATTTTAAAATTTCATCTTATCGAATTAGATTGAATCAAAATCTATAAGATATATATAAATTTGTTTTGATACATATTTTTTTTCAAAACTATATTTAACGTTTAGTTTTGATTTCATTTTGAAACCCGTCGTTAAAAATTTAATGGAAATGTGGCATTTTATGAGTAAATCACATCTTTCATCACTTAACTATCTTCTCACTTTTATGTTGGTTATTAAAGTTTAAAAATTTTCAATTTAACTACTCAACTTTCAAATTACTCTTGTTTTAATCACTCTAATTTTTTATTAATAATTTTTGTGACATGATATTTTTTATTTTATTAATATATAAGTAGAATAAAAAATAAAAATTTAAAACTTAGAGTGAATAAATTAGGAGTAATCTGAAAATTAAATAGTTAAATTAAAAAAATTAAATCCAATGACCAAAATAAGAGTGAGAAAATAGTTAAAAATAGATAAGTGATGAATGATGTAATTTACTCATAAAAAAGCTTTACGTACAACGGTACTGTTAAGTTTTTAATGGTGAGGTATCAAAACACAATAAAAAAGTAAACGTTAGGTATGATTTTGGAAAAAAATGAAAGTTTATGTTCCAAAACAGGACAAAAGTAATAGTTTAAGTACTAAATGTGTACTTTATCCTACTTATTTGGGTAAACAACATGGATAGTCACTTATGTTTTCGGTCTATCCAATTTTGGTCACTAATTAAAAAACGATTTTGATCCCTTACGTTATCGGTTCGTTCGGTTTAATTCTCTCGTTGTTAGTCTCGTTAACACGGTAACAAAAGTCTAATTTTGGTCACTAATAAAAAAGCGAACAAATTTCCGTTAGATTGCTTTTATTTTTAAATTGTCAAGTCAGACTTATGTTACTGGGTTAACGTGAGTTAAATGCCGAGAGCCTAAAATCGAACAGATAAATAATGTAAGAGACCAAATTTTTTTTAATTGATTACCAAAATCGAATGTATCGAAAATATAAGGGATCATCCGTATAGTTAACCCTTTTAACATTTGGAAACTTGGATTGGGTAAACTACATGTTTAATACTCCAACTATCACTTATTTTCCATTTTGGTCATTATTTTTTTGTTTCAAAATTATACTTAGCATTACATTTTGATCACCTACCATTAAAAAAATTAATGATGATACTAATATGTCACCATAAGATAATTCTATATCATCATTGAATTTGTTTTAAATACCAAATCAGCACTTACGTTAATGTTTTAACGACGGGTGATAAAAACGAAACCAAAATAAAACGTTAAATATGATTTTGAAAAAAAAAATAGCTTGGTGAGCAAAACGGAACAAAAGTGATAATTGAGGTACTAAATGTGTAGTTTACCCAACTTGGACTACTGAACTATGTGGTATTTATTCATTTTCCACCGCGTTTAATTTTCCTCCTAAACATCGAGGATTAGTCTTCATCAGTCTAAAGCAAAACCTTCCAGAGCTTACTAGTAGTTCATGGAGGAATTACAGACTGCTCTTCAAGCTCATGGCTTATCCCTCTCAAGCTTCCCCGATAAAGGCCGTTCCCTCGTCGCCGCCAAGGATTTCTATCCAGGTTTCCTTCTTTTCACCATTTTTTTCAACAACAACAACAAAAACAAAAATCTACTAATTTAGATCTTTTAATATATCAATAGCATGCGAAATACGATAAATTTCTTCAAAAAATATTATGATTCCTTTGTCATTTTCATTAAAAATGCACAAACTGATTCTAAAAGGAAGCTTTGATATATAGGAGAAGTAATTATAAGCCAAGAGCCATATGTCTGCGTGCCAAACAACTCCTTAACGGAATTAAGGTGCGATGGATGTTTCAGCAAAAGCAATCTTAAGAAATGTGCGGGTTGTCATGTTGTTTGGTATTGTGGAAGCTTATGTCAGGTTTTGTTTATGTTTTAACTCTTATATTAAATTTATTGTAAAAACATATTTGGAGAATCTACTGATTGGTTTATTGACTTATTTACAGAAGTTGGAATGGAAATTGCATCGGCTAGAGTGCCAGGCACTTGCTAAGCTTGACAAGAGGAGGAGAAAATCAGTTACGCCTACAATCCGGATGATGGTGAAACTTTACCTTAGGAGAAAATTGCAAAATGAGAATGTAAGGAGAGGGCTTCTTGTTATTTGTTTTGTATTTGAGAATTATGTGCATTGTTTTTTGTGAGGAATTATTAAAATTTGCTTATGATTTCAGGTCATCCCTGTTACTGCTTTTGACAATTACAGTTTGGTAGAGGCTTTGGTTTCTCGTATCCTTTGATTTTTCTCCCCTTTGGATTTAGTTGATTTTGCTTTATTTCCTTTTATGATGTTATGGTACTGTTTGAACTATGTTATGCCTTAAATTGGAGAAAGACATGCTGGATATTGATGAGAACCAGCTTGTGTTATATGCACAGATGGCTAACCTTGTTAACTTGATTCTTCAGTTCCCCGACGTCGACATAAAAGAGATTGCTGAAAACTTTTCCAAGGTCCGTTTTGAGCAGTTTTGAGCTTCTAATTCCTTTGTTTCTTGTTTGATTTATAAGTACTTGAAACATATTAAATTTGGTATAGTTCCGTTTCCTTACTCACTGCAAGAAAGAAATTAATGAAGGTTATAACTAGGTACTATGGAAGCAGTCTGGGAATGTATTACATTGTAATTTTATGTCTCTATTTATCCTAACAAAGTTAGGAATCTTAACAAGTTCTGTCTGAACTGGATAAACATATGTCCTTATTTACTATTATGAAAATGGCAGTTTGCATGTAATGCACATACCATTTGTGACAGTGAGTTGAGACCCCTGGGGACAGGACTGTACCCTGTTGTTTCAATTATAAACCACAGGTAACAATGCTTACGAATTCAAGCAGTGGTACTGGTACCCATCCTTGTGAGTTCGATTTACTAAACAATTATTGTGTTGTAGCTGCTTGCCGAATGCTGTTTTGGTGTTTGAGGGAAGGCTGGCTGTGGTACGTGCTGTACAACATATACCCAAAGATTATGAGGTGAGAAATTTTTAGCTTTTGGTTTTGTTTTGTTTTGTTTTTGTGTGCTAGGAGCTCTTATATTATTAGGACATATTTATCGGATATAGGTTAGAATAATTCTTTAATCTTTTCGTGTTGCAACTGAATTCTCTATTCATTTTCTTAGGTATCTATCAGTTATGTAGAGACTGCTGCAAGTACAGTTACTCGTCAAAAGACTCTCAAAGAACAATACCTTTTCACTTGTACATGTGCCCGCTGTAACAAAGTGGTATTTATTTGCTCTATCCAATTATTGTCCTTTCAGTATGTAACCTTTTTGCTTCTGGAATGACCATTTTTCGTTCTCTAATTAACTGCTGCTTGTGTTTGTTAAAGGGCCAGTACGATGATATCCAAGAAAGTGCAATTCTCGAAGGCTATCGATGTAGGGACAATGGATGCAGTGGCTTCTTGCTTCGAGAATCAGGTACGCAATTATATCTGATTTAAGTCTGTTAAATGACCTAAACAAAACTTCTACATTTTTTAATATGTATACGCAGATGAAAAAGGGTTTGTTTGCCAAAAATGTGGCCTCACTAGAAGCAAGGAAGAGATAAGAAAGATTGTTACTGATATCAAAGCATTGTCGGAAAAGGCTCTTAAGTCTATTTCCTCAGGCAGTATCCTTATCTACTTTCCTTTATCAAGTAAAATCATTTAAATATTGTTGAATATGATTTTGCAGTGGTTTTACTAGTTATTAAATTTTAATCTTATTTCCACTGCCACAGTTTTGAGAATATAATTTTCTCTTTAGTGAATTAATGTGATCTGATAAGTGATAATGATCTAATTTGCATTCTGTTGACAAAATATTATGGGCTGTTACGCGGTAGTTATGGGTATGTATTATTGTTTAAGTTTAGGTACTCCTATATATATGTGTATGTTATTAGCTGAAAAATATAACAGAAGATCATTCATTCAAAATCTTTGCATTCATAGAAACTAGAAAGAAATGAATGAAAGTTGTTTCTTAACCTAAAGTTCAGATCCTCAGGAAGCTGTTGTTTTGTATAAAAATATTGAAAATCTCCAGAAGGAAGTCTTCCATCCTTTTTCAATCAGCTTGATGCGAACTCGGGAAAAACTTCTTGAGGTACTTCCATGAGTCGTATTCACATTTTTGAGCCGAATTTTGCTTGAAGAAAATTAATTTAAGGATAGATCAATTTCAGGTGATGTAGCAGTAGGGTCCATACTACTATTTCTTGTTCATATCAATACATATTCATTTCTTGTTTCTTCCCGATCTGATGAACCACTAAATAAGTTTTGAAGCTAAACCGAATGCAAACACATCATGTTTCTTCTTCTATCAAACATCCTTTGGTGAATTAACATTGGTTTTCTTGGCAATAACGATTGAGTCATCTTGTGATTCTGATAAAATTGGATCAATCATTTCTGCAGATATTAATGCAGTTGGAAGAATGGAAAGAAGCTTTGACAGTTTGCAAATCAACTATTCCTGTGTATGAAAGTATGTCATCTTTCAACTTGAATTGTTGCCAAGAAACAAATTAGAAATCCATTTTGTTGTCACTTGGCAATTTTCATCGAGTTTTTTTTTTCTTGTTTTCTTTTTTAATCTTTTTAATCCTGTGCGGGTTTAGCAACCAAATCTAGTGCTTTCAATTTCTAGGAATAACATGAAAGTGCATTTCTAATCCTGAGTTTCACCTGTGACATTTTCAAGTTGTCCTAAGCAAGAGTTTTTATAAAATTCGATGTCTTAGTTTACTTTACCCTTAAGTATATATATATGTTGCAATGTTCCCGAGTTGAGAAATTATCGGCATCCTGAATTTACCTTTCTGATTCATCGCAGGGGTCTATCCAGGATATCATCCTTTGCTTGGATTACAATATTACAGTTGCGGAAAGCTTGAGTGGTTAGAAAAATATCTTTCCCCGTTTATGTGCTTCTTTCATTCAGTTGTTCATTTTAGATAACTTTAGTTAAATTCAGTACCGTATCCGTTTTATAAGACAGAGGCCGTGACTTTACGAAGCTTTCTTGCAGGACTTTTGTGCCCCCAACATTAATGAGAAATCCACTGCATTTTATGATATTTTCCACATCGCTTTGATTCATCGGATTGTTACTTATAAAATCTGTTAAAAAGCTTCAGTGTCTTTATCAACTTTTCTTCAACATGGCAAAGTTCTTTATTCGGTTGTAAAAGCCTTCAATATTTATTCATGACAGGTTGCTTGGAGAGACGGATGATGCTATCAAAACATTTACCAAAGCGGTCGACATACTGAGAATCACTCATGGGACAAATACTCCATTTATAAAGGAACTGTTGATGAAGTTGGAGGAAGCTCGTGCCGAAGCATCGTTCAAGCTTTTATCGAGGGAGGATTCGTGAACAGTATACCTCCGGCATTGTCTTCTATGTGAAGTTTACATGCTTGCACCGAGGAATGACTCAACAGCCAGAAAAATTGTGTTTTTGTCTGGCTGGTTAAACCAGTGGTTTAATAGGTATGGTACATTTTATGAAACCACCAAAAGCCTGGTTTCGTACAAATAGATATTTCGATACTTGCACGAATCAAACAATTTTTAATTGTTAAAGGATTTATTGTCATCTCTTGAGGTATCGAGTTCGAGCATCACGTATGCAAGAATATGAATGTTTATTGTTAAATATGATTGAGAGTATTTAAACATGTACCATCTTATATTCACCTTAAATTTATCCAAAAAGAAATAGTATTTGATACTAAATTTTGTCTTTGGATTCACTGCATGCGATCTATTTTTGTTTTAAAGAAGAAAAAAGAACTGATGTATAGCCCATAACATTAATACTTCCCCTGCTCAACTCAAGTTGGTTGAAATCGATTTAATTATTGGTAGGTAAGAAATATTAGATTTTATACATTTATATTGTAGATAAAATAAAAATATTTTGTATAAAATAATTATATTTTTGAAATTTAGTTAACCATTATCACGTTTTAAATGATAAATAATTTATATATAAATCATACTAGATGTGAATTCAATATAATAATTTAAATAAAATATTTTAATAATTTCACAATTAAATTGATATTCAATACAATTCAACCAACGATTTAGTAATAATATAATTGTAAAAGAACCACCAAATTAATTTGCTTATATTATTTCTTTGTTTTTAGTTAACAAGGGCTTAGTAGAATTGACCAAATTTGAAGCTCTTGATCCTTAAAATTCTAGATTCGGATCCTACGATTTTTAATTATGATTCTTATTATTGTCGATTATAATATGTCGGGCTTAGATCATATATTTAAGGTTAAAGGGATCAAAAGTACTTAAATTTTTGGGAAAAATAATTAAATATTTGTTCTTTTTCTTTTTTACTAAATTAAATTTATATATTTCATTCAATTCATCCTTTTGACCGTTAAATTTTATCATACAGTTTTCTTTTTTCGGGGGGTCGTATTTAATTCAAATGATATTGGTAACGAAAAATGGTAAAACTGAAGATAATAACAGCCCTCGATTACACCAAAGAACTCTTCTCCTATTTAGTTGATGTGCAATAAGAACACGGCAAAAAATAACTACTCCTTCCCTAACCTTAACGGTCTACAAATTATTTAGCGTTTATATCATTTTCTTTTGAAACCATGTGCTATCAGACTATGGTTTATACAGAAACAGTTCGCTCATACCAAGTCGAAAGATCGATTATTAAAGGAGTTGATAACCTGATGATCTCGTCTCGATAACAATGATGTCTATCGGCACTCAAAAGGCTCCCACACGATCACGCGGAATCAGCCGAAGTTCAGAACCGTGTTTGAGGAACACATTTCCTGCCAAAACCAAATCAGCAAAATGTTTACATGAAAAGGGTCAGATCAGAACTAAATTCAGATACTCTTTCCCTTCCTTTTTCAACATATTTACTGGTTAAACTACGAAATGACTGGTTATTCTACGAAATACGAATGCAGCCTGCATGCAGGTAAAGAATAGTATATAGGACGAGTTTTTGTGAGTCTGGAATAACAGAAACCAACTAGTAGTCTTGCAGTTGCAGAGGAATGCCAGTCTGCCAAAATGATATATAGAACATTCCTAATTCTCTTAGCCAGATCCTAAACTACTATTATACACTGGATTGTCCAAAAAAAAAAAAGGCAGATGCTTTGGTCAAAGGCAACATGGTTCTAATTTGAAGTGCAAAATTTAATGAAAATAGAAAATAAAACGATACTTGATAAACATAGAAAATAAAATGAAGCTCTAAAACAATAAAACTAGTTAACAGAGTACGTGTCAGCACACCTGCACTTTGCTGAGGATTGATTCCCACACCATCTGTAATCAGAAAGAACATATAATTCAATAAACACTATACAATTTAGGATGTAGAATTTAGATACCTAATTGTATACGAAAATCATATTTAAAACGATGTAGATTGAATTAAGCTTATTAAGAAAACAAACGATAGAAATGAGGGAATCGAAGCAGCTTATGGAGGTCTGACCACGACATGGATCAGATTCCACAGCTATTCAATTCATTTTTTATGTCATTTTCATTATTATCAACACATAACTTGAAACTCAGTTACAGAGTTTATGAAAATAACAGTAAAAAGTAAACATATAAACAAAATAACTAGTGCCCAAACATGATGTAAATTCTCATTGCCTTGTTTAGGGTTCTTGTAAATTCAGAACTGAGTCGGTCTCTACCAACTTGGTGAAGGCTAACTCAGATTCTCTTTATATATTACTATGAATATCTATTTGATTCCAGTTCAATTATGTTGAGCTCTAAAAGTCATTAAATCACATCGAAACCAGGTCTCATAAAGTATCATGAGTACTGGTGACAGATCCAAAGTTCAACCAAAAGGGAAGGCTCCATTTCAAACATGGAGAACTTTATTAATAAGATTTTACAGGTTCGCTCCAGACTATGCATTATCTTTTTGTTATCCTCACCAGCATGATATTTTACTAATCTGAAATGATAATCATGTGTACACAATCTAGAAATACGTCTCGAGGGCAGAAGGGCGCCCTTCTATACAACTCCCTTGCATCGTACAAGTCGATAAGAAATTAACTATTTGAGCCTTGTAGATTGCTATGCTGCTTTGACTCAGTTTCTTTTCTTTTCTTCTTCTAAATTATCCATAACCGATACATGAATCTATATACCTTCCAAATAGATCAAAACCTTAGAAAATTGAAGATGCCTATGCTGGATCCAACACTCAATTGTTAACCTATGACAGTTTCCACCTCCAAATTCCCATATTCTTATTTCAATACCACATATAATTAATTAACTGAAAATCACAAGATACAAAGATCAATTAAATTAATACTTGAATATATATTTTTATATATATAAAAAAGAAGGAATTGAATTACCGTTGGTGATGATAGCGCTGGTTTGGGGAGGGACTTTGAATTCCTCAGCAGCGAATTTCAAAACAGCCGTGAAGGGGGCTGCTTCAGGAACGCTAAACCTGAAATTTCAGAAAATATTTTAAAACATAAACCCAGATTCATAATTTCAAAGAAAAAAGAAAGGGTAAAAACTCACACTTTGAAAGGGAGCTTTGGATCGGAGGTAAGAGTGACTTTGAAAGACACCTTTCCACCACTCGCCATTTCTTCAGATTTCTGAATTTATTCTTCTACGATACATATTATACATACTCGACTCGCGTGATTTATAAGGCAACTGGGATTTGTGATCTTTTTGTTGTTCTTACTAATTTATTCTAGGTAAAAGTAGTGAATAGGCCCCTTTATTATTTGGGAAGTTGCATTTTGGCCCTTCAATTAGAGAAAAATAGCAAGATGATTATTGCTGTTAATTGTTATTGTTAAGTGTTAAGTTGGTGATTTGGCATTTTTGAATATTGTCATGTATTATGTCCAAATCAACCAAGTAATCCAGTATCATTTTATTTATTTTTTAATATGTAAGGACCGATTTGTTCATTTTTAAACCGTAACAATCAAAATTTAGTATGATTTACATAAAAAAAAAATTAACGTTCGATTAAATAATCATTTTAAAATTTATATTTTGTAGGATTTTAATATCTAACATTTTATTGTGGGTAAAAAAAGACTTTTACGTGGATAGAAATCATTATTTCACAAATAATTAACGTTTTAAAAAATAAGTCTTTTTATCTTAAATTTTTTCTGATGTTTAGATAATATTATATAATTATATTTTATTGTTTGATAAATTTTTCAGAAACTATTAATTATCAATACAAATATAATAGATAATATTTTTTATTATACAACAAGTTTAATATTATTTGTGATAAATATATTATTAAATTATATACAGTGAGATAAGTTAATTATTTTCTCTCAAATTTTCATGTTTGACGTATTGAATATGTATTATTAACTAAATGACTAATCCACTAATATAAGCATTAAAATTTGAATTTCCTTCACAAAATTATCTATTTTATTAATTGTATTCACTCTAAAATTTTATTTATATCCGTCTAATATAAAAAATTTATATTGTTAGTATATATATTTTCCCCCTAAAAAATATTTATGATCCACCGATGTATATTTAACCTTCAAACCCAATTTTTTTTATTGGTTTGGCGATCATCAAGGTCTAGAAACACATGGGATACAGTTTGGTAGACCAAGACGTCAACATCTTGACCCGATACCATTTGGTAGACCTAACCTTCAACATTAATTTACTTATATGATCATCCACTCTACGCTATATATGAACCAGAGTTGTTGACATTTTCGAATCTCATAAACCTCATTTAAACCAACTCATACCTTTGAACCGAATCAATGGAGGTCGAGAGAGTTCAATCTTTAGCCATCAGCGGCGGCCTGAAAGAACTCCCCGCCAAGTTCATCCGCCCACCCCACGAGCGTCCGGAGAACAGCAAGCCACTCGAAGGGGTCACCGTGCCGGTCGTTTCCCTGACGCTGCCGCACGATGTCCTTATCGAACGAGTGTTCGAGGCATGTTCCCAATGGGGTTTTTTCCTGGTAACGGACCATGGGTTGTGTTTGGAACTCGTCAAACGACTGCAACAAGTGGGGCGAGAGTTCTTTGATTTACCGGCGGAGGCCAAAGAAGCTTATGCGAATGATCCGTCCACAGGCAAGTTTGAAGGGTATGGCACGAAGATGACCAAGAATCTTGATGAGAAGGTCGAGTGGGTTGACTACTTTTTTCATCTCCTCTCGCCTCCTTCTAAGGTCAATCTTGATGTATGGCCCAAGCACCCTCCCTCTTACAGGTATTTTCACACTAAAATAGTTTTCACTTTAAAACAAAAGTTATTTTTTTAGGTATAATATCAAAGTATACCCTTAACCTTTGATTAAATAATTATTTTTAAACTCTATTCTTTTTTTAGAGTAATTTAGCCCCAAAAATTTCATTTTAAGATAAAAAAGTTCTAAATATTTAACCAAATAGTCGTTTTAGTCCTTACTTTTCTTAGAGCATTTTGATCAAATGCTTAATTTTAGGGGGGGAACTCCTATTTTGGAGCATTAACCGTTTATTGATTAATGATTTTCATCCACATAAGAGCTTTTTACCCTAAAATAAAACGTTAAAGTTAAAATATTTCAAAAAAAAAAGTGACTATTGAGTCACTTTAGTGTTTATTTTTTTTAGCATTTCAATCATCAACGTTTCATTTTAGGGTAAAGCCTAGTTTGAAATGTTAATCATTTGTTGACTAATGGTTAAAATGTTAAAAAAGGACCAAATTGACAATTTAATCAAACATGAAGAATTTTTGTCATTATCTACAATTTTTTTTTCATTATGGCTATTTTTAACTTTGGGTAATGTAATGCAGGGAAGTTAATGAAGAATATAGCAGGGGAATTCTAAGGATAACGGCTCAGTTGCTGGAGGTGTTATCAGAGGGTTTAGGACTGGACAAAAAGGCTTTGACGACGCCATTGGGGGATGAAGAAATAGAATTGGAAATGAAAATAAACATGTCTCCGCCATGCCCCCAACCTCATTTGGCTTTAGGAGTCGAACCCCATACAGACATGTCAGCACTCACATTGCTCCTCCCTAATGAAGTTCCAGGCCTTTAGGTTTCCAAAGATGGCCATTGGGTTGCCGTCGACTACTTGCCCGACGCTCTCTTCGTCCATGTCGGCGACCAGATTGAGGTAAACTGATAAAACTCCACTGAAACTGCAAAAACAAAATGATGCTAAAGTTAAAATTACTACTGTGTTTCCAGGTTTTGAGCAATGGGAAATATAAGAGTGTTGTTCACCGGAGTGTGGTGAGCAAGGATCGTACTCGGATGTCGTGGGCGGTGTTCTGCGCGCCGCCGCATGAGGCCGTGATCGGGCCACTTTCGGAGCTTGTGGACGAGAAGAATCCGGCGAAATATTCGACCAAGACTTTTGCCGAGTACCGGTACCGGGAATTCAACAAGCTCACTCAATGAGGGTAGTCTAGTTTTAGATAGGCTCTAGGGAAAGTGTTTTAATATGGGTAGAAATAACTAGTGTTAAGTTCATGAAAATAATTGTAATAGGATTTGGATTAGTTCTCAAGGGACTCTTGATATTAGGACGAGTAAAATTCATTTAGATTTGAAAAATTGATTTGAATTTAATTTTATATATTCGACTAACTTAAAGAAATTTCTAATATAGTTTGAATAATAAAATATGAATCGTCAACTCGACTAACTTAAGATTTTTTAAATCGAATACTGTCTCTAATTCCTCATACACTTAATTCCTTCTTTATTTTAAGTCCATTTCTTTTTATTAAATTTGAATCAAATGCTCCTTTAATACTATAAAATTTATATGTAGCTCAAGTTCTTATTTTTAACAAATCAATATTCTTTTTATAATTTAATCTCTCAACTTTATATTTAATATAATTTAATTTTTTATTACAATTTTTTTATATAATTTCTTTCTTTCTATCAATTTATGTACTCCTTTATACTTTCATCCATATTTTTTCTCCTAAATAAATACTTTAAAAAATTAAATTAAATAAAAAAATATGTTTTATAATTTTAGATGATATTTGATTTATTAAATAATATTTGAATGAGAAAAAATATGAATATGAATATGAATATATATATATATAAATCTCTTATATGGTTAGAGAAGACTGTTAAATTAGACCAATCCATAGCATAACATTATAAATATTTTAATTCGAGTAGAAACTAAAAAAATCGACTTGACTCGAAAAAATTATAAGATAATGTGTCACATTAACTTTTTTTTGAATGTTAGTTCACGACAATCGTAGTGAAAGTGAATTAAAAATTTACAACTATATTGTACCTTCTAAAAGTTGGATTACTAAAATGCAACATAAAAATCCGGTGATCATTTATGTAGTTTCCTCTTTTATTTTTAAGTTCTTTTAACCAATTGTAGATATTAAATCTATTGGTCGGTGAATCTAAATCGATCACGACAAATACTCATTAGAGGGTGACAATCCAAACCTAATGTACTCTAGTTACAATATTAAAATTCGAATGTTGAGTTAATTATATTATACATCTACAAATTATATTTAGATTTTAATTTTTAAAGTATTTTAATTAAATTTTCACAGTTTGACGTCATATTAATATGATCTTTGATCAACCTAATTACCCATTTAGGTGTTAAAAATTAACTAAAATCTGAGTTTGACTATATTTTAAATTTGGTGAACAAAATTTTAAACACCTATTGGTAATTAAAATTTGAAGTGTATTTATTTTAAATTTTAATAACACTATTTTAAACTTGATAAATTCATGTATTTACACAATAAGTGTGCATACAAATTTAAATTTTTATTTTTATATCTTAAATATGTTTTACAATAAAATATAAATGATATTTGACATTCAAATTCACGATTAAAGTAACCAAACTAATTAATTTTGATTTTAATTCTATGGTCAACTCTTATTCAAGGTGGCATGAGCCGCCCCAAAAAATTGGATAAACTAAAAGTATAGTCACTAAACTATCGGTGTGATTCTATTTTGACTATTGAATTACAAATTTTGTCAATCGGATCACTTAACTATTTAAATTGTATCAATCAAACCACTTATCCTTAACGGTTAATGAAAATAATAACGTGGTAGATAAATAAATTTATATAATTATACATTTAGTTCTTATTGCTTGTACACTTAATTAATTTGATCATAATTTTAATTTAATTTAATAAATTTAGTCATCCAACTAGATGGTTCAAAATATTATAACAAAAATGTCACTATATCAACAAATTTGAAATAAATGTTTAATGATATCTGGTATAACTTTTGTAGTCCCAAAACTTATATATTTTATATATTTTATCCTACTACAAAATATAAATTTAATCCTTCATATTTAAATTTTTTTATCAATTTGATCTCTTTTAGATATTATCAAACCTAGTGAGTTCACCGAATCAAAACAATAGTTACATAATTTTAATTTTCATAAATTAACAATAATTTTTTATTAAATTTTTATTATATCTAGAAAATAATATAACATTTATGAGAGAAAAACAATAAATTTAAGAAAGAACAAAAACTAAAATGACATAATTTTTAAATATGGAGAGTTATTTTTTTAATATTTTTGGATTATGACCAAATTAAGGATTAAAATTATTATTATTTCATCTAATATTTAATAACAAAATAAATTTTTATAAT